CTGGGAGCTGCTGATACCATAGGGTATGGCTGGGTTTGTGGATTGGAGTGGGACTTGTAGATATTACAGTCTAATTAACATGCATTTCTTAATTATCCTAAACAGTTGGTAATAATAGCTTTCAAGGACTAGAATTTTACATTTTAAAGGAGCTGCATAGGTACAATACCTTAAACAAGAGTAGAAACATATATACAGTATGTTGTAATAAAAATAACCTTAAATTTGTGTCAACATACAAAAATCCATACCAATGTAAAATATTTAAGATTAATAGTTGCTTTTTAGTTTAAAAGTAGATTTAATAATTTGTTTTATCATATCATTCCCTTTTTCATTTCAGAAAGAGTTCCTAGAATCCAAGCTCCCTTGCTTAGTTTCCTACTTTACCATGATAAGTAACAATTTGCAACCCACCCCCATAAACAATGACAAACATCCATAATCCACCAAATGACCAAAAACCATCCACTCCACCTCTTTAGAATTTGGGCATTGTGTTCTCAAAATTACTTCCTGCAGTCTTGAGGCAATGGCATCTGTAGGGAACCCTGAAAAAATTGAGAAGGATCAAGTCCTGAGAGAGTTAGATGTTGTCCAGTCTCTGTGTAATGGGAAAATGCAGGGCTTATTTTCAGTCCTGACTAGAGTAGTCTATGAGGCTGGACCTTCTCAACTTCTCAAGCTTTGAAGTTGTTTTGGATTTTGAAGAAACTGCAAGAGGCATTTGGAGAGGCTGGGTCACCTGGGCTACTTGTCTCAATTGGCATCTGGTCCTTTTGTTCTGAGAACACACAAACTTTTAAAGGTAACATAGTATCTATATTCACACAAATATGGAATTCCAGTATGCATAAATCAGTGAAAGATGATTTTGTTTTATGTTTGAACAGATAAATGGCATTTGTCAATTTATAAGTCTGTTTAGACTATATAACCAAACTGTCATGAGGACCCTACAGCCAACAAGATTTATCATGTTTCACCTAGTCTCAGAGTTGTTCCCATGTCAAAGGATCAGCTTATACATCACCTGTCTTGTAGTTTTTCTTGGTTTCTTCCTTCATGTCTGTAGCCAAGATTTTCAGATCTTCCCCAGTCAAATATGATCTTTATTAATTTTGAAGGATTCCAAAGCATAACCTCTTCCCCAATGCAACACCTTTTTCTGATTTCTATCCTATAAAGTTAAGACATCCTCAAAATATATAGGCTGCTTTTATTTAGTAGTTTTTTTTTCTATAATCCAATGTCACTCAGTAGCATTTGCCCTTTGCTCATCAGAATTCAAACATTTTAATAACAACCATACATGATCCAGATGCCCCATTATTTCCATTCTTATATTGCTTATTTTTAAATTACCTTATTCTTTTATTAAAGATTTTGTCATAAATTATTTTTAAGACCATTTATACCCATTTTTCCTTTCTTTAGCATCTAAGCACATTTTTAAGCATACTGTATTTGTTTAGAGGGTTTCTCAGCCTGGACCTGACTCTTTTTGTTGTTGACTGTAGTGTATCTCTGACTGGGGGGGGGGTTCTTCAGCTTAGCTTGTGGCATTGGTGACTGGTTCCACCCCCTTTGGGTCCAGAGGCAATGGAGGGAGTCACTCCTAATCATCCCAGATATGCCTAATTGTCCTAGGTCTGGGAAACTGTTGTGTCTGTGCTGTGGACGAACATACCTAGTGTCCTTCCCAAATAGTACACAGGCTGTTCAAGTACTCAGCATATTGATGCTGTGCCTCAATATGCAGCAAGCATCAGATGACTCTCTTCAGAATTTTTTTCAGCTTTCTCATGGCTCCACAGTGGACACCAAATGTAGTCAGACTTTCGTTGAGTGCCAGGTCACAATGACATGGAGACTTATTAACTATGAAAGCTTGGCCTTAGCTTAGGCTTTTCCCCAACTCGCTCTTATAACTTAACCTGTCTCTATTAATCCACATTCTGCCACGTTTTGGTTGGAAGTTACTTTGGTAGATATTAGAATAGCTACACCAGCTAGTTTCTTGGGTCCATTAGATTGGAAAATCTTTTCCCAACCCTTTTCTCTTGAGATAATGTCTATCTTTGATGTTGAGGTGTGTTTCTTGTATGCAACAGGACTAATCCTGTTTTCAAGTCCATTCTGTTAGCCTGTGTCTTCTTATTGGCAAATTGAATCCATTGTTATTGAGGGATATTAATGACCAATTGTTGTTAATTCCTGTTGTTTTGTTGTTGGTGATGGCAGTGTGTATGTGTGTGCCTCCTTTGGGTTTCACTGGTGTGAGATTATCTACTGGCTATGTTTTTGTGGGTACAGTTAACTTTCTGGGGTTGGAGTTTTCTTTCTAGAACCTTCTGTGGGGCTGGTTTTGTGGATTCATATGGTTTAAATTTCATTGTATGAAATGTCTTGTTTTCATTATGGTGATTCAGTTTTGTTGGGTATAATAGAATGGCCTAGCATCTGTGGTCTCTTAAGAGCTGCAAGACGTAAGTTCAGGCCCTTGTATAGATTTTAAAGTCTCCATTGAAAAGCTGAGTGTGATTCTAATAGATCTGCCTTTATGTTACTTGGCCTTTTCCCTTGACCACTTTTAATAATTTTGTTTTATATGTTTAGTGTTTTAACTATTATGTTGCAAGGGGATCTTCTTTTCTGATATCTATTTGGTGTTTTGTAAGTTTCTTGTACCTTTATAGATGTATCCTTCTTTAGGTTGTGAAAATTTTTTTCTATGATCTTGTTAAATATATTCTCTAGTTTTTTGAACTGGGTTTCTTTACCTTCTTCTATTCCTATTATGTTTGTCCCAGATTTCCTGGATGTTTGTGTTAGGAATTTTTTAGGTTTAACATTTTCTTTGACTGACAAATCTATTTCCTCTATCTTCAACACCTGAGATTCTCTCTTCCATCTCTTGTGTTGGTAATGTTTGGATCTGTCATCCCTGTTTGCTTACCCAGATTTTCCATTTCCAGGATTCCTTCCATTTGTATTTTCATAGTACTTCTATTTCCATTTTCAGGTCTTATACAGTTTCATTTACCTGTTTCTTTTTTCTAGGCTTTTTTTTTATTGTTTTATTTATTTGCATTCTTCTAGAGATTTATTGGTTTCATGTAATTTTTTTTTGTTTTTTCCTCTATCTTTAATGGAATTTTTCATTTCCTCTTTAAGAACCTATATCATCTTCATAAAGTAGTTTTAAAGACTATTTTCTGTGTTTGATTGTTTAGGGCTTCCTGTTGTAGGGTAGCTGAGTTCTGATGGTGCCATATTGCCCTGTTATTGTAGTTACACTGGTGTTTGGCATCTGAATTTGGGATGATTATAGGTCTAAGTGTTGACTCTTATGTTTGTCTTTGTTGAATGGGTGCTTTGTTCTTTGGTTTTTCTTTTCTTTCTGGCATGCTGATTGACCTAAACAGCTAAGGGTTCTGGTGACTGATGAGTGAGTCTTCAGGTCCAGTAGGGTGTCCTCTCTGGGTTTTGGGGTCTAGAGTTCCTAGATCCAACCTGGTAAAGATATACACCAGGATATGGACCCTAGGAAGGGGGTGTGGGGCAGGTTTTAAGGAATATTGGTGGTGGTGGTGGTGGGGATGGGCATCAGGTAAAGCTACTAGGGCTGTGGGCGCTAGTGTGGAGGCCAGGAGAGGATCATTGGAGTATAGATTTTTGTTTTTTGAAACAGGGTTTCAAAGAATTAAGTATTGCAAACCCCTCTCCTGAGGATTTAAAATACAAGTAATTGATCTGATTGGAGAAATGGGAAAAGGGGGAAGGTTCCAGTTGTAGAGGGGAGAGGAAGATAAATACAGTAGGGTAAAATCACAGTAGATGTCTGAAAAAGTCTTAAGAAATCATTCTATTAACTATCTACCACACCCACAAAATCCTGTACTATAAATACCTGTGTATAAATATTCATATAATTTAAATGAAAATTTCTCCCTCAAAGAGCCAAAGATGATCTAACAAATACCCTAATACCAGACATAAGAAGCTCTCCTTCAACTGGTTGGTGAGGGTTGTTCAAGAGACTATTGTTATTTATGTTCACTGACAAGAGGCCCCAGAGCTGGAACTGATCTGTATGTATGCCTCCTTTCTGCATACTTTCATTGTACCAGGTGTCATGCAAGCTTCCAAAGGAAGCAACCAACAGTTCAACCCAGCTATGACACCTATCAACATAAAAATACAGCATAACATAATAACCCTCAGGCTGCAGCAGCAGCACACCTATGTTGACAGCAACTAACAGCTCTCTAATTGGATTTAAGATCTACTCAACAGGAGGAAATCATGTCTGGTACTGGAAACCTAGCCAGAGGTAGTGAAGTCATAGATCTTGAAGAACCTATAGCCATTTTACTAAAACAGCATAACCCCTAACAGTATTTTAATTACTTGTCTTTATAACCAGAAATAAGTGTAGTACTCTTCCCAGACAGATGACTACAGAAAACTACTACCAACCAAAGTGCAAAGCTGTGCAGCTCAGTCCCAATGGATATTTCCACAAAATAATTCCCAGATCTAAGGCTCATGGAACTTTGTGGAAGAGGGGACACAGAACACTGTAAAAGCCAGATCAGAGTTTGTTGTGAGGCTGTATCTCCTAGTAATGTCAGAACTTATACCCACAAAGTCACACCAACGTGACAACCTAAACATGGGGTAAGCATGGACAACAAAAATAAGCATGCAAAAGTGAATGTAGGCCTCAACCCTACAAAAATAACTACAGGCAACTAAGGAATACTAAGCAGAAGAAATAAGTCTCCTGCAGGGAGACCATTTGTCTTATATACTTATATTTATAAACTTATAATTTATATGTAATATATAGAGTATGTTCACATATTTCTAAGTTAACCTAAATAGGACCCCTAAGAAAAACTGCACTTCAGACTTGAGTTTTTCCTCTCCAGTGTTCCCTTTGTCCACTGTCTACTCTCATCTCCTACTACTCTGTAATAAACTTTACACTCATGTATCTTGTCTGAATTTATTCAGCAGAGAACACAAGGACCAGGAAGCTCAAGGAAGTTCTGTACAGTAAGGAGATGATCTATGATAGTCAGACTTTGGTTTTGAATGAAAAGTTTAAGTATATTGGCAAGCCAAAGAAAAAGTATAAAATGTAACAGATATATCAAACCACATGCTTAAAACATACAGAAAAAATTGACTGGAGAAGCCTGTTGAGGCAGTCATCTCAAGTTCTGAACAAACTATCATGTTCCCTCCAGTAAGACTTCTGAGTAACAGCAACAACATCAAATTCAGGGCTTCCAAACATACAGCACAAACTGACTGGGGAAGCTGAGACAAACAAAACAAAACAACCTTAAATGTTTGTTTTTTTGTTTGTTTGTTTTTTTAAAGGCCTTTGCTTTCCTTTTCAGGAAGATAAGCTTAGTTCATGTTATCTACTGTTTGAGGTTATTAGGCTTGCATCCATGGGTTAGTGAACACATTGTGTTTGGCTATTTGTGTGCTTTTTTCTTTACCTTTGAACATTTTCTTGGGTCCTGGCCAACCACGTCAAGTATTTTATTTTCCTTAAATGTTTTGTTACTTGGGATGTATGATCCTAATTAGTATATCAAGAAAGTTAACAGAAATGTAAAAAGACAAAACAAAAACAAAAACCTGAGAAAACCCTTAAATATGATTAACTAGAATCTTATTTTTCAAAAAACCCATTACTAGATCAAATATATTTTAAGCTATAAATTATACCATCTTATCAAGGTCCTACAAACATTATTGCACTATTTTCAGTTTGAAATGTCTTGGGTATTATTTTTTCCATTCAGCAGGTAAAGAGACTGGGAAACTATGATACTAAATATCAGATTTAAAATTTATATGATGTGTGATGTCTTTCTGTATGCTGCTTTTATTGGTTGATGAATAAAGCTGTTTCAGCCAATGTCCAGGCAGAAAAGAGCCAGGTGGGAAAACCAAACAAATAGGGAAAGAAGGCAGAGTTGGGGAGACACCATCGAGTCACTGGAGAAGCAAAATGTATACAGTAACAAGCCATGGCCCTCATGGTAAAATATAGAATAACAGAAATGGGTTAATTGAGCCATTGTTCAAACAATAATTAATATTAAGCCTCTGAGTGCTTATTTGGAAATTGGCTGGCAGGGGGAAAAAGATCTCCACTTACATAACTAGAAACTAATGTTTTGGTAGTATAAAATTGTGGTAGCATTTAAAGCTGTCTAGCTCAATTTGGGACAAAATTTCTGATAAAACACTAAGTAGCTAACTTTATTCTAAAGCTCCTTTGAAGTCACTGAGACTAATCATTAGCCTTGGGCACAATCATACCCCATGTATACTTGACAAATAAGATGATACTATAACCATCACTTGATGGTCCAACATTACTAATAGAGATGGATGATTCCAACTGCTAGATGACTTCATCTTGACTTTCTGGTGCAAATGACAAAAGCCTTAATGTAAGCAGCAGAAACAAATGTACCAAAACATTGTAACCAACATTCAAAAACAGCAGTTTATCACCAGGTTTCAGGAACCAGGAGAATATCAATAGCAGTATACATTTCACCTTTATCCTTTTCAACTAAGCTTGGTTCACATGACTGCTAGCATTTCCTGGGCTCTTGTTTCAAACTGAAAAATCCTAAAAATTAGCTGATTTGAATCAGATCCCACTCTTCTTATTGTAATCACTGTGGCCAGGAGAGAACTTGGTCTACCATAAATAAGTTTAGGCAGTCACTTTCCTCATACAAGGACATTTTCCCAAAGATTACTAGTGTTCTAAAGAAATAGTGTATTATATGTCCTCTTTATCTACATTATAAATGGTGCTACCTTGTGTATGACTAACTATAATAAGTTTAACTTAGTCATTACACACAAAGAGTTTGTATGGAGCCATTTAAATTGGGGTGGTAATGGGAACAGCATTTTACACAGGTGGAGAAGAGATAAAAGTAATTTCACAATTTGAATGGATCTTTGGAATAAGAGAGTCCCTTTGAAGCAAAGGGTAGAAGAAAGGAGATAAGAAGACTGAGAATAAACAGAATCATTCAAACAATCAAACACACTTATCAAACACACTTCTTTTTTCTCCCAAGATGGAAGGAACATGTTGGATGGATAGGGATGTGGTGAGGTGGTGAGGATCTAGAAAGAGTGGGGGGGGGGGGGAAGAATAAGGTCAAAAATATAGTGTATGAGAAAGAGTCAATAAAAAAAAACAAACAAAAAAACAGAATTATTCTAACCACCATAACTCATTGAACATGTAAGCCATGGGACTGGTATTTAGTAAGACCATATATATATATCCTATATCCCTCATCTCTCATTTTAAATTAGAACATTATGAGCCATTTCCAATTAAATGGAAATGACATTTTTCTTTTCATTTGGGTAATATAGAGAAAATGGCAGACTTTTAGACCCCAACATTCATCAAAGGACTGCAAATGCACTACACACACTCATTTCCCACTTAGCTAGAATACACAATGGTTTCCTAATCTAAGTTTGTGTAAGCCAGGTAAAAGAGCTGTGTAAATCTTTCAACTTTCTAAAATTGAGGTGACTTTCTAAACTTAGAATGCTGAGCAAGACAGAGAAACAGTTAAGGCATAATTACTATGAAAACAACAAAAAAATCTTGACATGACAAAATATTTAAGCAGAAAAGTTATAAAGCTATATATATTACAACATACATATTAAAGTTCAATTGTATATACATTTACAAAATATCAAAATATCTTTTCTACTTTGGCAACTATATTCTTGAGATTAAAAAATCACAAAGTTCAAACATTTCTACATAAAAAAATTCAGGTTTTCATTTGATAAAAACAAAACAGTACAAGTTTTGCTGCCCTGATATATATATATATACACACACATACACATCAAAATAAATATTTTCAATTGTGGAAAATACAAATGGTTAGCCATCTCAAATTTCTTAACATTATAATGACAAATAGCTTACCCTGAATTTTCAGTATCTTTTTGTTAAAAAATATATTTACTTAATCTTAAACTCAAATCAATGAGTTTTAATGGAAAAGTTTACACTGGCTAAGAAATAAAATTTGCAGCCATATAGGTATAAATATAATTTTAAAAACATAAATTCAGCATTATGAATATATAAAACCCCTAGGTATACTCCATAAAAAATATAAGTGCACATTTGCATTCTATTGATTATCAAAAACTCTGATGTAGTTTCTATAAAATGTTACAAAGTAAAAAGCATTGTTTTCTCTCTTCTTTTTCTTTAAATGGTCTCACTGTGTAGCTACAGGCTGGCTTCCAACCCACAGAACCTGGTTCAGCAGGTCAGCATTGTTTTCTTAATGCAATACAGAAAGAAGAAATACTTTTATCTCAAAGCAGTAAGAACAACATTTGTTAGCAAAAAAAATGGGAGTATACATAGAAAGGTAGGCATTATCATGTATTCAAGTTTCCAAGTTTGATTTACATTAAAATATACAGAAAAAGTAAAAAGAGGAGGTAAACATCTTACACTTTTAAGAAAATATTTTAAAGTACTCAAATATTTCCATTGCCTAGTTTCTGAAATGATGCTCTGCAAGGTCTTTCATAATGATGGACGATGGTCTGAATTTAAATCACATTTCATAGTCTTCGGAGTAGGCAACATTTGTTTCTGTTGTTATAAAACAAGCAGGACTTTCACCAACAGTATTTCTCTATTGTGAGTTTACATGAGGCACCACGCCACAGTAAGAGCAGCTACAATGCCATTCAAAATTGCCATACTATAGCCCATGTGGAAAGAATGTCCAGTCAGTTTCCTAGAGAAAAAGGAGAAACACAGATTAAAAAACAAAAACAAAATCAAAGAAACATGTAATTTGGTATGACAAAAGTAGTAAACTCTTACTAAAAATGCACAATGAATTTTTCTAAGGTTAATGTATACGTTAAAAAAATACTGGACACTTGCAGGATTAATACAGGATCATCAATCTTAAAATTCTTTTTCAAAAGAATAAAGAAATGATTCAGTGGTTAAGAGTACTTCCTGCACCCTGTCTTGAAAAACTAGGAAAAAAAAAAAAAAAAAAAAAAAAAAAAAAAAAAAAAAGAGTACTTCCTGCTCTTACAGTGAACTGCCCACATTGGGTGGCTCACTATTGCCTGTAACACCAGCTCCAGAGGATCCTATACCCTAGCATCCAAGGGCACCTAACAAAAGGCACAGAAGGCATGTGTGTGTGCACGAGCTCACTCACAGACTCACACACACATATACACACACAAATTTTAAAAACAAACCAACATGCAAAACTGTCTTGGTTTCCTAAACATATATTTTTAATTTCATTAGTACAAAGTGCTGAACTTGAACCCTAGTTTTTTTTTGTTGTTTAAATGGCTTTCCACTGTGCATAGCAATAACAATGTTATATTACAAACAAGTCTTACATAATATAGCACTGTTTTCCCCTGCCCGCATTCTTTCTTAGATCTAATTTAAAACACATTATTCCAAGTATCTTGCTCATATTTTTTTTTTCCAGTTATAGAAAGAAGCTATTCCTTTGAGCCTATGTGAGGGGCTTAGACTTTAACATAAATTTCAGCTTTCAACCAAATAGGGTTATTTAACTGTAATGGTTTCCAACAAGTCTCTAAATGACAGCAAAGAAACATCTCTTATTTATGATTACTTTGAGTTTCAACCACTTCACAAAATTTATGTACCCATAATTTTTCTAGATGTTTCTTTAAGAGTTTTGTTTATATTTTTCTAAATATTCCATTAACTATATTGCAATGATTTTTTTTTTTTTTGCTTATTCTAATAGGATGACATAATTCTGAAAAAGGGGCTGGCAAGATAACTCAGCAGATAATATCACTTGCTGCACAAGCCTAACTAACACCTGAGTTTAATACTTGGAACCCATGCAACAAAAGTTACATTCTGACTTCTTCACATGATACAACTTTTGACTTGTCAAACTTAAGTCATGGCAAGGTTTACCAGGGGTAAACTGACAAATAACACATTAACAGCACACCAAGTATAATAGCGAACAAGCGCAAAGCAAACAATCAGCTAGATCATGTTATGAAAACAAGGAAGCCAAGAATGAATGCTAATATAATTTCTTAAAGGATTTTGTTTCACTTATACCCATCTTTCACTCAGAAGTAAAGGAATATATTTTATAAGACTTACATGTATTTGAACCCTACTCTTCTAAAAGCACATTATGCTACCACCAATAGTCATTAATATATTAATTGTGACTGACTATGGCTCCAAACAGTCCCTAGTTAATGAATCTTCATGACACTCAAATATGAAAACCAAGTCCATGATTTATTTCTTTTGTCAGATTTTCTCTCCTACCGCAATTAACCATCTGACATCTGTTTCATTAGTTCATGATAATAATGACTCTGATTCAAGACGGAGGCAGCTTTCCAAAATCTGTATCAAAGAAGATAGAGTTAATTCATTGTGATCAAAGTTACATCTAGTGTGCCTGGAAAAGAAACTTCTAATTTAAATATTAAATCAACTTTTCTTGATCTACAAGGTTTATATTACTGCCCAAGATAGCCCATAACACTTTCCTATAATGCTGTATTATACTACTTATTCTGTATTTTCTTAACTACAATGTAAAAAGCAATGAGAAACTACAGAATAATCCTAGTAACATTTAAAACAAACAAGGCTTCAAGGTAATATAGAAAGTACTATAACAAAGTAATGCTAACCCTAAAATTCTGAATTCTCCGGGAAATTTATATTCAATGTTCTATTTTTTTTGTTAGTTCCTATAACAAAAGTTAAAATAACATAGACCTATAAATGCCATGAAAATTCAACTGTCTTAGAATCTACTTTACATATAGAATGCTTTCCAGAGGAGGTAAAACATGTACAAAGAATTATCAAAATAAGTGATTTGAAAAAAATAACCACCATCAAACTTGTACTTTTCAAACTCCCAATTGTAGAGATTATAAATAACATCAACAGCAGTGCTTTTAAAAGAGTGAGGCATGCATAATGTTAAGTTTAATAGAATTTAAAATGTACTGAATTACTGAAATTAAGGTATGTATCACATAACTGTGGTTGAGAGTTCAATACAAAGATCAGTAACTCAATTATTTATGCACCCCCCCCCACAAAAAGACACTAATGTCAGGAAGGCAGCAGATATTCATCGGGTTGCATCTCAAAACTGAAATACTATGAATTGCCTATCTAATTCTGAAGACTGTATTTTAAGCAGGCTTTTGTGTAAAGATTACACCATTCTTTAATCTTACCATAGTTTTAGAAAATGTTACTCTGGTAATTATGACGTTTGTCTATTAATCCAATATCAAATAGGCAATAAAAACAATCAGTAATATGACTGGAAAGCACCAAATTTCAAACTTCTAATAACATAGGAATGAATTTATGCTGATTTCTATAAAATGAGCATACATGTTCCAATCTGCATAATTCTGTTAAAAGAATATATTCATATTCAAGATGTATCTGAGGCACAAATACTGTGATTTAAAAGTGAGTCAATGACATGTAAAAGAAGCTTGTTTCTAATTTAAAATTGGTCTAATTACAATTATAAAAAAATAAAAGTGAGTCATGTTATAAGAATGCAGTATGTTTTCTTGGTTTATGGTAACTTCAAATGGCTTTCAAAATATGAGGCATGATAAAAGCACAAACTTAGAAAATGATCTAGGAACATTTAAAATAAGCCTTTTCTTTCTTTCATAAAAATAAATTCATTATTTATTTTACACTCCAATCACAGTTTCCCCTTCTTCCTCTCCTCCCAGACCCCCACTAGCCACCCTCTTCAAATTGCAGTAAGACCAAGTAAGTACCTCCCCATGTATTAAGGCCAGGCCAGGCCAGGCAATCCAATATGAATTGCAGTAAGACCAAGTAAGTACCTCCCCATGTATTAAGGCCAGGCCAGGCCAGGCCAGGCAATCCAGTCTGAGTAGGGTATCATAGGCCAGTAAAAAAAGTTTTTTCTTTTTAAAATAATTTATTTTTATTTCATGTGCACTGGTGTTTTGCCTGCACGTATGTCTATGTGAGGGTGTCAGGCCCCCTGGAACCAGAGTTAAAGACAGTTGTGAGCTGCCAGGTGGGTGCTGGGAATTGAACCCAGGTCATCTGGAAGAACAGTAAATGCTTTTAACCATTGAACTATCTCTCCAGGCCCTGTAATTGTTTTTCTTTTAACAAATGTTCATATTGTAAACAAAGATATTCAAGGTTATTAAACCACATAAGGAGGAAATAATTTGTTTTTAGAGTCAAGATCCCCTAGAACTCACTGCATAACCCAGGCTAACCGAACTCTCATGGCAGGCCTCCTGCCTTAGCCTTGCAAATACTAGATAATTCTTAAAACAAGTTAGCCTCAAATAGGCTCATTGTTAGTTGTGAGACTCAAGTTGAGCTCTTATTGTAGAAGATGGCTAAAGATTTATTTATAAGAACTAAAGTAGTCTCCACACCTGCAATGCTATTGACCACAGCATGTCGTTTCTTCAGTGTTAGTCAACAGAAGCAAGAAATCTATTTAAAATCAGTTTTTTTTAATTATTCAATAAGCTAAGCTTAGTTGCAAATATACAATACACCAGAAAGCTTACATTTTTAATAACATGCTTATTTAGTTGGGGAGAGGTATAAAGTGAAGGTAGAGGACAACCTGTGAGGATCAAACTCAAGTAGCCAGGCTTGGCAACAAGCACCTCCCTTTACCTAATGAGCCATCTTGCTAGCTAAAGCTATATAGTCTTTGACCAGTTTAAACTTGAAATTTATTAATCTCTAGCAGCACTTGATTTCCATGATAGACTTATATTCTTTTTTTTTAAGACAAGGTTTTTCTGAGGCTTTGGAGTCTGCCCTGGAATTCACTCTGTAGATCAGGTTGGCCTTGAACTCCCAGATATACTCCTGCTTCTGCCTCCTCAGTGCTGGGATTAAAGGCATGCACCACCATCCAGCCAGTTCTATTCTTACAAGCATAAACTTTTTACTCCTGCTTCTGCCTCCTCAGTGCTGGGATTAAAGGCATGCACCACCACCCAGCCAGTTCTATTCTTACAAGCATACATGTTCTCTCCTTGAAAATAAATCTTGAGGGCTGGAGAGATGGCTTAGGGGTTAAGAGCACTGACTTCTTCCAGAGGTCCTGAGTTCAATTCCCAGCAACAACATTATGGCTCACAACCATCTATAATGAGATCTGGTGCCCTCTTCTGGCATGCACTGTATACATGATAAATAAAAAAATCTTAAAAAAAAAAAGAAATCTTGATGTATATTCATAGTATAAAATAATAATTTATTGTTATATTTTAGAAAATACTTCCCTACAGCTGGGAATATAGCTCTAGCCTCAATGTCCAACACTGGAAGAAGAATAAAAAAAGGTTTCTTGGTATAACTTATAACTCCTTTGACAATATTTGAGCTAATTAACTGTGGAAGCCCACCAGACCTATGTTACACAAATTAACTTTAAATGCAAAATACAACACCAATAAAACAGAAATGAGTTACTTTGGAATGCCTAGGGTATTTTGGTTTTACAACCCTACAAAGGTTATAGGAATGTAAACTTCTGACCTAAATGGACAGCAAGATTTTTTTTTTCAAATTTCCACTAAATTTGAACAAAGTAATATTTGTGTTATAGGTGAGATTTTCAGTAGTTAAATGATCTTATCTTTAGCATGTGAAATAATTGCAAGCCTATAGACAGACCATTTACCACTAGATGGTGCCTGTATAGAGGTAATGTAAAATGTGTGCAGTTTAAATTAGAAAGTGTCACTGACTTGGAGAAAACAATGAAGATGAAGATAGATGTTTTAAAAAAAAGTTGTTACTCTATTTAGCAAACTGCAAAGGCAAAACTGCCATACTATAAAAGCTCAGAGTTAGTTGTCAACAAAGTAACAATTAGTAAAACTTCTACTGTTGATTTATTTTATAATGCAGAAGCCAGTGAGTTAATATGGCAAACCATAAGTAGCCAGATGCATTATGCTACAGGTAAATAATCTGATTGTCCAAGTTGCTTCAGTTCTTGAGACTTGGTTTTCTTCATGTTATAAAGTAGAACAACACGGATGATAAAACCTAAGGGTAGCTTAGAAACTTGGCTCCTTTATGATCTTTATTTGGAATCTCTAAAACATCTCTTGTACTACAGTACTAATTTAAAATTTGTACTCTTAGGAAAAATTCAAGTTCAACCTCTCCAATCACAAAGACTTAAATAAAATGGATGGTTCTGCCACTGGCCTATCCTAGAATGAACCTCAAGATACCTTAAAGGTCTAGGTTCTCTTTGTAGATAGGTGCTTTATGTAGATACCACAACATGACGTAATCACTATGCATGTATTTTATTTGCCTGCTTAGAACTCACTCATAAAGCCCAATGAATGAGGGAAGTTAGTTGGAGATACTGATGAGACACTGTGGGGAAATATAATGAATTATACAAGATTGCTGTAGTAAATTATAACCCAATGACAACTAAGGAATACTACAGATACATCAAGAAATCCAAACTTCTGCTTTGGTCTTTAATAATGCAGATTCCAAGTAGTTAAGACATAGTCCTCCATGCAATTATTTTAGTATTCTAAAGCAAAATTTTCACTTTTGCATAAGCACTGTTAAAAAAAGATAAAGGTACATTTTCAAAAAGGTACTTAATGGATATTTGACAGGAAGATAGCTCTATGCATTTGTAAATTTAGCTAAATCACAAAGCTTATAGGTGTAAGGCAAGCTAGTTCAGCAGGTAAACATGCTTTTGGCCAAGCTTGGAAGACCTGAATTCAATCCTAGAACCCATACAGTGGAAGGCCAGAACTGACTCTCCAAGTTGTCCTCTGATCTTCACACTTAAATAAAATGTAATAAAAATGTTGTTAAATAAAAACAGGTAGCCGGGCATTGGTGGCGCACGCCTTTAATCCCAGCACTCCGGAGGCAGAGGTAGGTGGATCTTTGTGAGTTCGAGACCAGCCTGGTCTACAAGAGCTAGTTCCAGGACAGCCTCCAAAGCCACAGAGAAACCCTGCCTCAAAAAAAACAAAAAACAAAAAACAAACAAAAAAAACAAGAGTGACAAGAAAAGTATTTCATTTTTAGCATCAATCTAAACTAGTTATTCATTCAGATTGCAGAGAAACCCTGCCTCAAAAAAAACAAAAAACAAAAAACAAACAAAAAAAGCAAGAGTGACAAGAAAAGTATTTCATTTTTAGTATCAATCTAAACTAGTTATTCATTCAGATTGTTCATTTCATTAAATGCTTCACCTCTTATTTACTATTAAATAGCAAGAAACATTATTTCATTGAGAATTTTGTTTCAGTAAAATGTAAGTCAAAAAATAGTCTTGAAGCCAGGCAGTGGTAGCACATGCCTTTAATCCCAGCACTCGGGAGGCAGAGGCAGGTGGATCTCTGTGAGTTCAAGACCAGCCTGGTCTCCAGAGCGAGTGCCAGGATAGGCTCCAAAGCTACACAGAGAAACCCTGTCTCGAAAAACAAAAACAAAAAGTCTTGATTTTCTTCCCTTGAAATTGTCTTTTATTATTCTCTTACCAAAATGTATTTTATTCTGTAAAGAGTATCAAGACTAAATAAAACGCCGGGCGTTGGTGGCACATGCCTTTAATCCCAACATTCAGGAGGCAGAGGCAGGCGGATCTCTGTGAGTTTGAGGCCAGCCTGGTCTACAGAGCGAGTACCAGGACAGGCACCAAAGCTACACAGAGAAAACCTGTCTTGAAAAACCAAAAACAAACAGAATGGCCTTGAACTAGCTGGGATTACACACATGTACCACTATACATTGTACAGTGCCAAGACATGAAACCCAGGGCCACATGCACACTAAGCAAGCATGCTAGCTACTGAGGATACATCCATAAGGCCATTTTAGTACCTTTCAACAAAGAATCAAAATTATTTTAAGCAAGTAAGAAACATGCTTATATTAACTTTCTTTTAGGTAGTAAGATAACATATTATAAAGTTATTTTTATTAATCATTATATTATACATTAGGGAAATATATCTGATTTCTAAAAAACTGTCTAAAGATTTCAACATTTTCATTAGAATCTATTTTCCTGTGCAAGGACTCACTCTACTGGATACACAGAGAATAATATATACTTAGACTTTGTGAAGTGATTGTTTATTTTCATGAACACTAGAGGGCGATATTTTCATTTTCAAACAGTATCTGTGTGTTTATGTGTATACTTAAATGTATACCTAAATTTTATTTGAACATAAAATAATTTTGCATTTTAAAATTTCTATTTACTTGTAAAAATTAACATAAACACAGCTATTAAAATACATTCTACAAGTGTTTTGAAACTTTTTAAGATTAAAGTACATGAAGTATGTGATCTGAAGCTATCATTTTAATGACTAATAAACATTTGACAATAGGGGCTCTTATTTATACTTACAATTTAATAAAAAGATTAACTTATTAAAACCTAATACAATTACTTAACAGATCTTTAGGAGAACATTAAAACTCTTTAATCCTCAAAATTCTAATTGCCAAAACAAATGGAAATACAGGGCTAGCAATCAGGGAAGAAGTTGCATATTACACAAGATTTACAGTGTCTAATAAAGATACTAGTGTTAATGGGCAACAAAACAATATAAATTCCATCTCTTTTTATTTCTTAGCCAAATAAGCTTTCTGATTAAATACTAAGTACTATAGTATGATATTCCACTCTTAGGTGTAACTCTTAGAATATTTAATAATGAATTAAATATTCATCCAAATCAAATGCAAATCCATAGGCATACAGATATGATTTTCAATATTTTAAAAAATTATATTATTTATATAGGGAATATAAAATATTATCCCCCATTACCTAAAGGTGAGGCCTAGATGCTAAAAAATCTTGTATTATTTTTGTTTTAATACTGAAATCTAGAGCTTCAACATATCCCAGTTTATTGATTCTTCCTTTAGTGTGTTTAAAAGAATTCAGATTCTTTCTCTCAGAACTCTCTCTCTCTCTCTCTCTCTCTCTCTCACACACACACACACACACACACACACACACACACACCCAACTCCTCAAACAAAATAAACAAACAAACCCAGAAGCACTTACTTGAACCTAGCAGGTGAAAGAGGAGTAGGCGGAAACATTCCTGGTTCAAAAGAATCAAAGTAAGTCACTGTCCAAGAGAAGCTACAACAGGAGAATCCAGCAGTTAGAGATAATGTCAGCAGAGACCAGAATCCTTAATGGGAAGAGAGGGAAAAAATTATTAAAATTATTTAAACTAGGCTCATCATGTCTAGATGCTAATATAAATTTCATAAGAGATTTGAGTTTAGTACATGCTAACCCACGTAAAGGAAAATTATGAGAACACAGTTAGAGATTGGATCATTAAATACTTTAATGAAATTATTGTACGTGCAAACAAAGAAAATTCTACCCAAAACCGTAAAAAATTTGGTTTTATGACATTCAACTATAGCAAAAATAGACATAACAACTTAACTTTTAGCATGTCTTTAACAGTTTTCATTTAAACTTCATGAGCAGTAGCTGGATTTGCTATCACTTTGTATTAAGTGCATTTTTCATTCCAAAACAAGTACTTTTTACATAAACCAACTGTGCAATACCCCCTCTTTGTAATTTTCCTATGAAAGTAAAATACTGATTCTACATCCTTGTTCAGTATATAAACTAAAGTTGACTTCCATCCAACTTTCCAAGGAGTTGAGAAGTCAAATTTGTCAATTTAGAACTTTTTTCTCACAGGAATCAAATCAAAAGCATGGTATTACAGTGACCCAAGTTGAGGGGTAAGGGTTAGGAAGCACTAGAAAGATATAAACAAAGTGAAAGGACACAGAAATAAAATGATCTGAAGATTTTTGGATACTACTCAACTCATTAAGGATAGTAAAGGGATAAATGAACTGTTAATCTAATTCTTTTTAGGAGTACAGTTAACATTTCTTAAAATATATTAATTTTCATTTCACGTGTATGAATGTCTAACTGCATATATTCTCGTGTACCGTATGTATGTCTGGTGTCTGCAAAGGTCAAAAAAGGGTTCCTCTGGAACTGGAGTGACAAAACAGTTGTAAACTGCCACATGAGTGTTGAGAAACAAACCTGGCCCTTTTGCAAGAGCAGCACAGAATGTGCTCCTAACTGCTGAGCCATCTCTCCAGTCCCCAGGTTTTTTATTTTAACTTCAAGTTTTTAAAAAGTCTTTCATAAGTTTAATTCATTACATCTACCCGGCAGGATACACTGAGGATACACCCTGTATTTGGTATGGTGCTATGTCATGGGAACAAAACAACACACATTGTCTTCACTGAGTAATTTTGGTGAGAAGAAAACAAGAGCATAAATAAATTAGTAGCTACAGATTGAGAAAACATTTTATTTTGAATAAATTTTAAATACCCTACAGTTTCTGAGGAGATAACATCAGCATTCAGATGCAGGCTGTGATTCTTGAAAAAAGTTAATTCTAAGATTTATA